CCATCACACTTGAGGCAATGTTTCTCATATTGTGCAGTCTTTCCAAAAGATCATGTGATAGAAAAAGATAAGTTAATTGGGTTATGGATGGCACAGGGTTTGCTTAAGGGGACGCAACATCGAGACATGGAGATGGTAGGGGAAGACTACTTCAATGACTTGTCAATGCGTTCTTTTTTTCAAGATTTTGAAAAGGATGCAATTGGTGGCATTATCAAGTGCAAAATGCATGACATAGTACATGATTTTGCTCAATTTTTGACAAGAGGTGAGTGTTTGATAATGGAAGTGGGAAGCAGTAGTAGAATTGAAGGTTTCAATGAAAGTGTTCGTCATGTGAGGTTGATGATTCCATATGATAGTGATGAATGTCCTACTCATATTTATGATGCTAAAAACTTGCACACTTTGCTAGTTGATTCTGCTTCAGTTGGCGAGTATAATGTAGATTTATTGAAATTGTTTGATGAGCTTAAATGTCTGAGAATATTGAAGTGTCAATCTGAAAGAATTAAGAAATGTCCAAAACAGATAGGGAATTTGATACATTTAAGGTCTCTTGACTTGTCAAATAATAGGTTTCTAAAGGAATTGCCTGATGCAGTTTGTGATTTATATAATTTGCTTATATTAGACATTAGTGGATGTGGAAAGCTTAGAAGTTTGCCTTATAGAATGGGAAATCTAATAAATTTGCGGCATCTTCGGAATGAGGATACAGATTGTGTGGAATTCATGCCTAAGGGAATGGAGAAATTGACTTGTTTGCGAACATTAAGTGAGTTCGTGGTGCGCAGTGGTGGGAAAGGAGCTGCTCTTAGTGAATTGGGAAACTTGATTCACCTTCGAGGGGAGCTTGAGATAAGAGGATTGAGAAATGTCAGAGATGAGAGAGAGGCTGAGAAGGCACAGTTACGAAATAAGAATGGGCTTACTACTTTGATTCTGACTATTGGTTTGACTTTCCTTCATAAAAGGGAAGTTTCTGAAGCATCCGTTATTGTTCTTGAAGCCTTAGAACCGCCTTTAGACTTGGAAAGGTTGCAAATATGGGCCTACAAATGCCCAACCCCAACCTTAGGGGTTTGGCCCAGTTGGATAGTGTCTCTAAGCAAGCTGAAGTTCTTCGTGCTCGGTAATTGTGTCAACGTTGAACAGTTGCCTCCCTTGTGGAAATTGCCATCACTGGAAATGCTCAGTATGTGGAAAATTGAAGGAGTGAAAAAGGTGGGAGTTGAATTCTTGGGAATAGAAACATCATCTTTGTCTCCATCTTCTTCTTCATCATCTGTTGTTGCCTTCCCCAGTTTAAAATCACTGGCATTTTCTGAAATGGAGGAGTGGGAAGAGTGGGATTATGGAAGCAGAGGAGAAGAGGATATCAAAATCATGCCACGTCTTTCTTCCTTGGAGATTTATGGATGTGAGAAGTTAAAGATGTTGCCGGATTCTATTCTCCAAAGTACTACCCTCCAGAATTTGCATATTGCTCAGTCTCCAGTTATTTCAAATCGCTGCAAAGGGGAATACCAGCCCCATATCTCTCGCATCCCTAAAGCGGACATCCAGTGAAAACCTCAACTCTGCACAGGGAGCAAGGTTCTTCACTTTTGCTTATAACATGTTCAATTTTTTTATTTTTGAGTGAGCGACAAGGCCCGTACGTATTCAAATATTATTAAATCAAACACTTTACTTCTATGCAGAAATTGTTTAATGCCCTAAAACATGCAGAAATTGATCCTTTTG